AAAAAATGACAGGGCAATTTAGACACCAGGGTCTACTCCTTGTCTACAAAACAGAAAACTATTTTCTGCTTATTCATGTTAGGCCCATAGAGCAAAAGTTTGTTTATGAGGATTATAAAATTCTAGGGTCTAGACCTCAGCTTTTTAGATTCAGAAATGTAATGTTTTCTGTTTCCCAGTGTCTGTCAACTAGCAGGCAAAAGAAGGAATCACCCTTGCGGCAGGGTAATTGCCTTGTTGAGTAGGAGGAGGTAAAATGGTTTACGTATAAAAGGGGCAGGAAGGAGTATGTGTGGAACCACAGTGATCTCCTTGGATGTTTCCCAGTACTCGTTTTTCCCTTGGAAGCTGAGAAGAGTATGGTAACCAAGAGCTTAGGCTCCTTAGGAATGAAGGTTTTGTCACATAAACAGGTAAGTCACCATGAACTTCTGAGAGGATAGCTGAGCATGAAGGAAAGTTGGAAAAGGTAGTGGAAAGTGAGAGGATGGGGGTAGTTGTGGCCCTGAGACCAATTACGCAGATTGGGACTACGTTTTATACCACTAACTTCCCTTTTCTAAGTTTTCCCTCAGAAGGGGAGGAACGTAGGAACCATCAAGGAGCTGCTACCTAAACTGCATGAAAAGGAAATTCATCTGGGACAAGGAGTAGACCCTGGTGCCTTTGTCAGTTTGGGCTGCAATAACAAAACACCTTAACTTGGATGGCTTCACCACCAGCCACTTACAGTTCTGGAGGCTGGGAAGTCTCACAATTCTATAGACTGGAAAGTCCAAGATCAAGGTGTCAGTATATTGAGTGTCTGGTGAGGGCTCTCTTCCTGGTTTGCAGAGAGAGTCCTCGTCATCTTGTGCCCTTACATGATGGAGGGAAAGCAAGTTCTGGTCTCTTCTTCTCAGAAAGGCACTAATTCCACCATAGGAGGGCGGGCCTCATGACTTCATATAAACTTAATTACCCCCATATGGCCTTACCTCTAAATGCCATTACATTGAAAATTAGGGTATTAACATATTAATGGGGGACAGGGAGCACACAAACATTCGGTCAGATAACTAACTGCAGGGATGTAAATGACTAAAAGTCCCAGATGCTGCCCTTCTGTACCCATCATTGTGTTTGCAACAAGGCCAAACCTGTGGGTTTCCAACCAATGACTGAGCATGGCACCAGTATTAATGAAGACCCACTCCTACAAGACGTGGAGCTCCTCCTCCAATGGGTGCCTTTGGTTCAATGATTCCCTGTAGGCCTAGCTGAAACTTTCTCTGACATGTGCCAAAGTTTGAGGCTCTTTCTACTCGGCTCTCCTTCCTTTCTTTGCTCTCCCCTTCACAGGTGTCAGACCTGCACTGCAGGTTAATAGCACTCCTCACTTCCTCTTGCTCCCTCTCCCTTCATCTTTCACAGGCAATTCTCCCAGTAAATCTCTTGCATGTCTAATCCCACCTAAACATCTGCTTCTGATCAGACAAGACTAGATACTCCATAAAATACATAAGAAGTTGGATGCTGTGAAGAAGAATGTGGTGGTGATACAAGGAGGAAGGACTACCTTACATAGGTTAATTGGAGGAAGCATTGGTGAGATTTGATCCCAGACTCTAAGGAAGTAACCTTTGCGTTAGGATGTTAAATAAGGGGAAAGCAAGAGCTATGCAGGCAGCCAAAAGCCTTGTATTCTGACATGGGGCAGACCAGGAATGTCGGAGTCTAGTGGCAAGGGAAAATGGCAAAGCTAATATGGAGTGGTCTGCAAAGGCAAACACAGTAAAGTTTTGTAGATCATCTGGATGAAACAAGATAGAAGGAGTTGCTGTGAACAAGGGGAAAGCAATCCTACATGTGCAAACAACACCATAATATAGAATTTACAATTTTGTGTGGCAATGCCTTCCAGTACTAATTTATTCATTCGTCTGCTATTTCATTGATGTTGGAGTTTCTACAAAACAGAAAACTATTTTCTGCTTATTCATGTCATTCCCATAGAGCAAAAGCTTGTTTATAGGGATTATAAAATTCTAGGGTATAGACCTCAGCTTTTTAGATTCAGAAATGCAATGTTTTCTGTGTCCTAACAAAAGATCAGACTGTCCAGGATGGTCTCACACTAATCAAACTCTATACAGGCTGATATCTATTACAAAATTGTACATATCATAGCCAAAGTGTTAGTTGGTCATGGTATTCTTGCTCTATAGCAGAATCTATCCAAAGAGTTAAAATTTAATCACAGAGTTATTTTTATCAGCATCCATCTCCTAACAGATGAAACCATCCCTCACTTTCTCTAATAGTCTATGTTCTAGATTTCACACAGATCATATTCACACTTCTGTTCACACATTCCTGGACAGACCACAGTGCAATTGATTAGATTAAAACTTGTCTTGTTATGATCTCATAACTAACATGCTTCCCTAAGCCTATCTTCCATGTAATTATGAATGAGTTTGGAATTTTCCTGTAATTTTTCAACTGCACATTTATTGGAAAACTTCTTGGACTATAAAAATAATAATTAGTAGTAGCAAATACTATTATAGATGTCATATAATGCTTGCTTATTATTGGCCAACCCCTTTACATAAGTAACTTCATTAGATTCTTAAAACGACTGTGTGGGAAGTCCTAGCCAGAGCAATAAGACAAGAGAAAGAAGTGAAGGACATCCAGATTGGAAAGAAAGAAGTCAAATTATCCTTGTTTGCTGATGATATGGTATTATATTTGGAAAAACCTAAAGATTCCACCAAAAAACTATTAGAACTGATAAACAAATTTAGTAAAGTTGCAGAATACAAAATCAACATACAAAAATCCCTGATAAGAAATTAATAATCAGAATATATAAGGAGCTATAGGAAAAAAAAAATCTAATAATCTGATTTTTAAATGGGCCAAAGATCTAAATTGACATTTCTCAAAAGAACACATACAAATGGCAAACAGGTATATGAAAAGGTACTCAACATCACTGATCACCAGAGAAATGCAAATCACAACTACAATGAGATATCATCTTACCCCAGCTAAAAAGGCTTTTATCCAAGAGACAGACAATAACAAATACTGGAAAGGATATAGAGAAGAGAGCATCCTTTCATCTTTTTGGTGGGAATGTAAATTAGTACAGCCATAATGGAGAACAGTTTGGAGATTCCTCAAAACACTGAAGCTACCATATGATCCAACAGTCCCACTGCTAGATATGTACCCAAAAGAAAGGAAATCAGTATATCGAAGAGATATCTGCACTCCCATGTTTATTGCAGCACTATTCATAATAGCCAAGGTTGGGAAGCAACCTAAGTGTTCATCAATAGAAGAATGAAGAAAGAAAAGGTGGTACATATACATAATGGAGTACTATTCAGCCATAAAAAGAATGAGATCCTGTCATTTGCAACACCATGATGGAGCTGGAGGTCACTATGTTAAGTGAAATAAGCAGAAGCAGGAAAACAAACTTCACTTGTTCTTATTTATTTGTGGAAGCTAATTTTTTTTTTTTTTTTTTGAGAAGAATCTAGCTCTGTTGCCAGGCTGGAGCATAGTGGTGCAATCTCAGCTCACTGCCACCTCTGCCTCCTGGGTTCAAGCCATATTCCTGCCTCAGCCTCCTGAATAGCTGGGACTACAGGCGCACGCCACCATGCCCAGATAATTTTTGTATTATTAGTAGAGACAGGGTTTCGCCATGTTGGCCAGGATGGTCTTGATCTCTTGACCTGGTGATCCGCCTGCCTCAGCCTTCCAAAGTGCTGGGATTACAGGCATGAGCCGTGGAAGGTAAAATTTAAAACAATTGAACTCATGGAGATAAGAGAGTAGAATGATGGTTACCGGAGACTGAGAAGGGTAGTGCGGGCAGGGGGAATGAATGAGGATGGTAAATTAGTACAAAAATACACTTAGAATTAATAAGGTCTAGTATCTGATAGCACAACAGGGTGATTGTGGTCAACAATAATTTATTATACATTTTAAAATAACTAAAATAGTATAATTGAATTGTTTGTAAGACAAAGAAAGGATAAAAGTTTGAGGTGATGGATACCCCGTTTACCCTGATGTGATTAGTATGCATTGTATGCTTGTATCAAAATGTCTCATGTACCGCATGAATACATATACCTACTATGTACCCACAAAAATTCAAAATTAAAAAACCCTACTGGGCACAAGAGACATTATAACCCCCTTTATACAGAAAAGAAACAGGTTTAGAGAAGTTAAGTAACCTGTTCTGCTTCCAAGCCAGTCCTTGATTTCTTCAATTCTCTGTTGTTTTTTGCCTTTTTCTCCTTCTCTTTCTCCTTTTGCCTCTTTTTCTCTCTAATTTATATTTTTAAAACTATGCATGCAAAATATTAAAATATTTCAAAATTACAGAAGAAGATAAGATGAAAAGCAAAAATCCTATCTTATCCATTCTCACTTCCTTACCCCAGCTCTGGCCCACCCTATGGAAAGTAACCCATTCACTGTAACAGTTTCTTTTGTATAAATCTTATTATATTCTAAACACACATATATGTGTGTTTATATATGTGTACATGTGTGTGTGTATAGAATAAGTGTGTTTCCCAAAATATACATACTGTACACAACTGGGTATCTTCAACCTTTCCCCACCTTATTTCTTCCTGATACATTTCATTCTTTTAAATGGATTAATCTAGCACTACCATTTTTAATGTATCTACCTATTTGGACAAAGTATTTTAATTATTATAGACACATTTTAGTATAATAGAATCCTTCTTTTCCTTTATTTTTAGAATTTTCTTGGCAATTTTCACATTTTTTTCCAAATGGATTTGAGACACATTTTTTTTTCAAGTTCAAAACAATAAGATAATAAAAAAGAAAAAACTGCTTACACTTTGAGTGGGATTGTATTTAGATGCAGATTAATTTAGAGAGAATTGATATCTATCTACTATTTTGTCTTATTATTAAAAAACATGGAGTAGTCCTTTCTCCGCCATCGTGGTGTGTGCATTACTCCGTTTCTCGCCATGTCTTCTCACAAGACTTTCAGGATTAAGCGATTCTTGGCCAAGAAACAAAAGCAAAATCGTCCCATTCCCCAGTGGATTCGGATGAAAACTGGTAATAAAATCAGGTACAACTCCAAAAGGAGACATTGGAGAAGAACCAAACTTGGTCTGTAAGAAATTACACATGTGATGGCACACATATTTATGCTGTCTGTAGGTCACAGTCGTGTTACCAAATCAAGCTGAAAAATGTCACCGCCATCTGGAGAAGTTTGAACAGTTTCCTTTCTGTATCTGTTATGAAGGCATTAGTACAACGCACAGTGCTTCCATTATTCATGTTAAAAAACAACAAAACAAGGTTTTGGTTGCCTGGGTTCAGTAATAAATATATGAGACCTTTCAAAAAAAAAAAAAAAA